ACGCAGCTGACAGCAGGTTAATTACAGCCCAAGCCGGGATCTCTTAACCCCCCCCCGCCAGCGGTTCCCAGCCTGGCAGGGCAGTGCTGCCCCCTGGTGGTGGGAGGGGGCCGCCTCTCTGGGGGAGCCTGCCCCAGACACCCGTCCTGCTCCCCAGCCCCAAGTCCTGTGCTAGACCCCGCGGCCCCACCTGCAGTTTGCCGTGTTCCTCCAGCAGCCGGTCGTACTCCTGGGTCAGCCCCTGGGCCTGCTTCCTCATGGCCAGCGCCTCACTCTCCGCCTTCTCCACCGCTGGGGGGAGCAGCCAGGTTAGCCCCCGCAGGGCCACCACCCCCCCACCGGGTGAACGGCTCCAGCGTGGCTGGTGCTGCCTTAGCCCCCCGCTGTGCAGCGCCTCCAGCCTCGGGAGGGGATCACGGGCAAGGGGCTGCCTCAGTTTCCCCACACCGGTTGGGTTAGGCCAGGGCAGCCAGGCCGAAGCGGACGTGCCCCAGCGGGAGGGGGGCCGGGATCCATGGGGTGGCCCAGGCCGAGGCAGACATGCCCCAGTGGGGGTGGGGGGGTTGGACTAGGACTCCCGGGGTGACCCAGGCCAATGCTAGCCTCAGGATTTAACCCCCGAGTTGCTGCAGGGGTGCAACATCGCCCCCGGCCTCACCCCTCTTGCTAGTGGCCAACTCCTCCTTCAGCTCCTTGAGCTCCGCCTTCAGCACCTCGTTCTGCTCCGCGGCCCCCGGCCCCTCGGCCAGACGCTCCCCGACATCCACGCCGGCCTCCTCCAGCTCCTGGGGGGAGACGGGGGACAGGTGACCCCAGCTGGACCCCACATCCCCAGCCAGGGCCCTGCCATCCAGACCCCCACAACCATAGGGCCCAACCCCCTCCCCCATGGACTCACATCCCACTGGAGGCTCCCTCCCCCCCCCCCCGGGCTCCCAGCTCGACCCACAAGAGGTCTGGCAGCCCAGGGGATCCAGGGGATGTGGGTTTGAGCCCCGCCCCCCCTGCACCAGCCCCGCCCCCCACCTTCTTCAGCTGGTCGTTGTCCTCCATGTATCTCCTGGCTGCGTCACTGGCGCCCTCCGCCTGCTTCTTGAACGCGGCGTTGGAGGCCAGGAGCGTGGCCTGCTGGGAGATCAGCGTCACCAGCCGGCGCAGGAGGCTGTGGGGAGCCAGGGCAGCGAGGGGTTAACGGCGGAGGGGCCACTCGCCTGGGACCGAGACGCAGCCCCTTGGGGGGGCCCCCCAGTTCTGCCTGTGCCCCTCACTCCCGACCCGCAGCCCCTGCTAGCCCGGCCCTGCCCCCCCCCAGTTCTGCTGGCGCCCCTCACTCCCGACCCGCAGCCCCTGCTAGCCCGGCTCTCGCCCCCCCCCCCAGTTCTGCTGGCGCCCCTCACTCCCGACCCGCAGCCCCTGCTAGCCCGGCTCTCGCCCCCCCCCCCAGTTCTGCT